AAATTCACAGCTCGACTGAGGACAGTCTTCTAAATTTGAATATCCTTTAACATCGGATTTTCGGATAAACTGCACTTATGAGTTGTTTACGAGGAGTGCACCAGGAAACTGTAAAGTAGACGCACATTGTTTGAATTTCAAGCATTTTTATAAAAATTGCATTTCCTTCCAACTTTCCGCGAAGCCAGGCGAAAGTTATTACTCCAAATGAGATTTTTAAACTTCTCATAAGTTCTCAGAACGCATGCATACACTTATTTTATAGACGCAGCCTGAACGTGACGAAAATACAGATGAGAGTAATATAATTCCAACGCAAAGTAAACAGGAACGCCAATCATACAGAGTACATACTTGGGTAGGTAATCAAAGTTTCATTGCTGGGAGAAGAACGTCATAAACAATAATGCACAACGGAAACGGAAAAGAAAAGCGTTTACAAATTGGATTGCATCTTGGGGCGAGCGTCGCTTTCCAGCAGGACTGTTTTTAATTCCGGAAGGCTCTGACACCATTTACAAATGATGGTATTGTCAACATGTATCCTAGTAAACAGCTTTTGTCTCGAAATTCTACCCTTTGATGTGTGGCAGCATTGGCATGCCGTAATGGCCTAAATTATTAGCGACACTTCCGCATTTCCTAAAAGTTTTAATTAAAAAATTTTGTGTTCGGTTTTTACACTGAAGGATTAATTTAAACGCCTTTCATTCGATAACGAAACACATTTTGATTAAATTCAAAACTTTCACCATAATTGTGTTAAAATTTTTTTAGCAACTGAAGCAGCTCACATTTTTTTAATCCAATGTGATTGTATACCTCCAATCTTGAACAGATTCCAGATATTGTAATCCAACTCTTTTAATCTAGTCTGCAGATTTTCGTATCTTGAAAATTTCTACAATTGGAAGTGGACGTTGTTTGCATTTTTTCCAATTCTGTGCCTTTTACATTTTGCAATGAACGAGCCTCCCTATTTGAGTCTAGAATTCAAGACAAATTTTGAGTACTTTGTCTCTAATTTCATAATTGCAACTCTGATTAAATGGCAATGGTCTCCGGACAAGGTATAAGCTGCGTTTCTTTATCGCTCTAGGGAAATCTTTCTAGTAATCGCTCTTATATCGAAAAGTGTAATTACATCGTTCGATTTTTTTCTTTTCCGCGTTTATAGGGACGTGAAAAAGAAAAGGAAATCGATAAACTGAGTGGTCTCCTGCATAAATCCTTGAAACTAGAATGATCCAGTAAAATGTCAACATCGTGTCGAGAAATAAAAATAAAACTGTAATTTTTTATTGACTACCTAATTATCTCCAATCGTTGAACATGAAACTGCCTTTTCATGTTTATTCACCTGTTAACCGAATGCGCACTGTGCACGCGCCATTAATCCCAATTAATAGGTAACTTTGTCTCGTTTCAGGTTTCGGCCCTGCAAATTATCGTCGGTTGTTTACTGTTGGGCGCCATCGTTTTAGTGGTGGGCTTGGTCCAATTAACGCCGAATGCTGCTGACGCGGACCATCGCTACATATTCCTCGGTGCCGGCTCCATATTATTAGTATTAGGATTAATTATGACAGCAGTTAGATGTTGCTGCATGCATTGTGCGGAAACAAGGGCGACTGAAGAAGAGGCGCCTCCGCCAATAGACGCGATTAACAGTATCGACGTACTCGTACAGAGGAGAGATACACAGGTAAGTACTCTAGCGAGGCATAGAGTGATTTATTTTGTTTTATAGACGATTAAGTTGTAATATTAAAACGGATTTAATTGCGATCAATATAAAAATATCTAAATAATAAGTGAATTTATAGTGTTTCAAACGTCAATTGTGGATTGACAGCTGAAAAAATCGGAAGGTAGAATCTCTTTAAAATATTGATGTGTTAAATTGATGTTAATTACGCTGCTGGTGTTAATAAATGTTTGCTAATTTGGGAGAAACAAGAATTTGATCAATCCCAAAGCACCCATTCTTTAATTCACTTCCTTCATTTTGGGTCTCGCTAGAGAAAATATCGTACACTATCAATATGTCCAAGTTCAAAGATCCTTTCGACTTCCAGATGAGTATAGAGAGACCATAAGAAGAAGGCCCAGACACTGGCATAATGTGAGAAATCATGTGATCCAAGCATGTATCCACAGCACCTCCTAGGCACCGTCTGGTACCTTTTGTTAAATAACTTGAACAAATATTCAATCCAATTATATTAGCCTGTGTAAATTAAAATTCTAGAGATAGGTATTATTTATTATTTATTTACAACTAACAGCCATAAACTGCCCATTTTGAATCCCTGTCTAATACTTACGATTGAACGTTGGTAGTAAGTGCCAACTGTCGTGAAATATTTGTAGAATATTTTCGAACAATTTGAACCCTGAGGACGAAGATTATGAGGCAATTTAATAAAATTTGTTTTTCTAGTAAGACCTTTACCTTCATTTCTTGGAAAAAGCTTCAATTAAATAGCATTTAGGAACAAACCATTAAGCTGCGATTTGGGATATATCTTATAAATTTTATGTTACAAAAACAAATGCTTTAATACGGGACTACGCAAATCGCCAATTTCAAAAAATTATCGTACAGAATCGCTTAAACTTAATAGTTCAGAATTCAAATTTTCACTTCCACAAACAAAAAGAAGATTTCGAATGCTCATTTTTGAGCTATATAGACATTTTAGTAGAAAAAAACCAGATCAGATGGTTTTAGGGTCCGCTCCTCTCAATAAAAGTTAGGTCCCTGTTTAGCCTAAGTTGCTTCACTCTCCCCGGTTCCAGATAACTGTAACCTCGCTACAGAACCTGCACGTGGGCTCCCCTACAAGCCCAATGTTGTGCAGGCGATAGTTGAATATCCAGTGGCAGTAGGCACTATTCAGTTTTAGAAGCCGAAAAGACCGAGATTTGCCAAGGGGCCGTGGACTGGTCACCCAGTGTTTAATACTGGCTCTGATAATTTATCTAGAGTTCACCTGCAGTCAAGCGCCGTAGCTGATTGAAACCTGTCTGTTGGCGCCGCCTGACTGTAACTGTATATTATGTATTATGTAGTTATTACGTCTACGGAGATTCCCCTGTGCACAGGTCATGATAGTTAACACCTCTACCTGAAACATGGTGCTATGCTGGCCAAGAGAGAAGCTCTAGGTCGATCGCCACATACAGCCATGCCCGTTCCCTTTTTCGTTAGGGACCCATCTGTAAACCAAACGAACCCCTCGGGTTTTAGGAACGAGCAATCTGAGTTCAGTTACTACTCTCTGACCGAGTCTTAGTAAGACAGGCCGGATCACACCTCTTCATGCGACGAGGGAATCGGATCTGAGGGTTATTTATTGAATAATGTTTAAACTTCCAGCAAGCATCCACTAGAACCCACCCAAAACAATGTAAATAAACTTTAGGTAAAATACCTACACAAAATATCCGTACTTATTTTGGCAGGTGACTCGAGAGTATTTTTCCAATTTGGTGCGTACTAATTGTTCAACAATTTCCAAATAATCAACCAAAAAAAGGTGCATACAAATTCTCCAAAATCGAAATCTCTCTATGCGTAATGTTAAGTACGAGATGATTTCAACTAGTTATTAACAGCGGGGTTAATCTCCCAATTCGACATGAACTAGAACCCGCAAGGTCCTCTGTTAATAACAATTTACGTGAAGTAACCGGGAAGTTATAGGAACAAACACCCCTCAGGACTACGATGATGATCTGATTAAACCACAAGAACGGCTTGATGGCACGATCTTTCGTTAATAGTAATTGTCGGACAGCTCCTTCACAACGGTGGCTACTAAATCAACGGCTTTCTTCTACAAATGCAGTTACATGCAAATCCAGATTCCGACGTTTAGATCCTCATGCGGTGCGGTATAACAAAAACCTCTTCCGAAGAATCCTCTCTCCGCTACAAATAAACCTCACGTGTAGCATTAAAACAATCAGTCACAAATTCAGAATAAACGTGAAACGACATGCAGACAATCCTCAACCTGTTTTTTGCAACCAAATCGGATGATTCGATTTTTAACCAATTTCACATTATGCAACAACTTTCAAGTCTCAACCAAAATTACAAAATCGCCATTTACTTCTACAGGAACCTCTCGAATCGTGCAAATTCCGAAAGCTCAGGAAGACAAGCCCTAATAATTATATTACAGGCAAAAATCATACGTGACGAAAATCCCCCAGTCTCACTAATTAAATTAAATCGACTCTAGTGTTGTTGAACGCGCCTTCAATATCTGGAAACACTCCCAGAATTATCCCTCCGGCAGACATTCAACCCCTCACCCTGCCCACGAGTCTGAGCCGTGGACATACCAGCCCTATTACTATGGGATGTAAGCGATTTTGATATCTTCCCAGTCCGCAAGACACTAAATTCGCATGGCCTTATTAAATAGCTTGCGAAACTACTTACGAACCTTTTCAAGGCCTGGGTTCCACCAAGGTTTTCTCTTCGTTCCTCGAAAGGTCCGCAGCAAGAGGGGGGGGGGGGGTTCAATTAGCTGTCCCTTTTAGAATAAATATAGTCCTCCACCTGACCAAGACCTCGTACGCGTCCCCTGTAAACCCAAGATTTTTGTATAAGGTATTGTCATACGCCTGTCTGCTCTGCAAGAAGGTTAGACCGTCCACTACTGATGGACTATGTTCAAGAACCGCCACACGAGTCAAAAGTTCGTCGACATATTTTTCGCCCTCTGAAGGCGTCGGTAATAATCCCGACGCCCCTTCGAGGTTGATAACGAAGGAGCCCCCTCCATCGCAACGGAACTGGATCTTACTGCTCCGAGGATGCTCTCGCGCAGCCGAAGCACTCGCTGTTCGTCACAAGCCCGTACCAGGGTCCTCCCTGCGGACGAACGTCTTCCATAGCCTCTCGTCCTTAAATCAGTATTTTGCCTCTAGAGGCGATTCAAAATGGTGGTCGTGTTATGCGGGAACCCGTTTATACAGCTATTACCTTAGTTACCCTCTGAACCTTTAGAGACGCGCTATCCCAGGGCCTAATAAGAGGGACGGTCCTCTCCAACCAGTCCAAGGTTGGCATTTGGTTACAATGACACCCTGCGGATCCTATCAGAACCTTGCCAGCCGAGCAAAAGTCCCCACCCTTCTCGTCAACAACCGCATTCAATGCAGCCATAATGCACCTCGAATGAGGGTCAGCGATGTCCACCTCCGGGTACGATACTGGAACAAGGGCCACCCTGAGCCCCGTCGCAGCGACTTGCCCATAAGTTCGTGGTGCACCCGCAACTTTGGGTTCTCCAAAACCTCTAGCTAAACCCTGGAGTTCTTCCTTCCGATCTGAGACGCTTGGTCCCTGACCGAAGCACGAGATTTTATATTCAATTCATAACTAAATCTTCGGTTAAGGGTATGATTTTCGCCTATGTGTTTTCCTACGGAACATTGTGTGCTCAATTAAAAAAATCTAATTTGAATGAATAATTCGACAATTTTATCTTCAATTGATGGGAAACGCCTTGGCATTTTCGTTATTCTATCTAGAAGAAATACGCGGCTTTACAATAACTTCATGAAGTTCCTACCAAAGACGGATTTCCTCAGGTCAGAAACCTTTAAGAAAAATATAATTTCAATCGAGACAAAATTCAATGATTTAAAGATTTTTATCTTCAATTCGTGATTAAGTCGTCGCTTAACGTAGTAATTTTCGCCTAGAATGCCTTTTCACGTAAATAAAATATGCGAATTTACGTTAATTTAATGAATTTCAGCTGCGAGCAACGTGTTTCCTCAGCGCAGGGGTTTTAGGTCCTTAATTTTAAAATGGTAATATAAATTGCAACAAAATTGTATGTTGGAAAATTTGATCGACAAGCATTTGATTCCTTCAAAGCACCTGAGTATTTGCTTCTTTAAATTGAGTTTCCTTTTATTCAGTTCGTGCATCTTCATAGTTTTAACAACTATATCCTCCATCGGTACAAAATTAAACGCTTTGATGATTTTTCAGTCCTTAGATGAATCACCACTTATCCGTCGATTTACTACAGAAATTCTTTTTCTTGCAAAGTCCTTTAGCATTTCCTTCTTTAATTTGAATGTGCGCACTTCTACCTTGATTACATGAAAATACCAATAATTAAACTCGACTTTGCCTTTCAGTCTCTATCGTAAAATAAATGCAATCAATCCTTTTTAAAAGGACTGAATACATGAGATGCGGACTGTACTTTACAAGTAAACGAAATTTTGGCTTTTGAAATTTGTAGTGCTTACTTCCTTCCCGCCAACCCCTGCTAAAATGTCACCACTACCATAGAGATTATTTACTCTATGCCACTACGCAAATCAGCGTTCTATTTTACTAGAAAAATACGCTACTCATTTATTCCTAACAAGCACTCCTTGACAAGATGAGGAAAGGGAAGCAATTAAGCGTCTCCCTAGATTATTATGTCACTATCATTATACGGACAAGCGTCGCGACGATCTCTATTTTTCAGCGTATTAGCGATCTCATTAACATGACAATCAAATTCTTGTTTCCTCTCTTAATTTCTTAATAAACATCGCTGTAATTAAAACAGTAGAATAGATGCTGAATGCGTAGTATTATCTATACTTTTCTATCTTTTTTAGATTATCATTTTGCCTACGTTCGCTACTATTTCCACCTAGGTTTTATTTTTCATTTCTAACTTCTCGTCTTTCTCTTTTCTAGGTCAAGGGACTAGGCTACATTTTACTATATACCGACTGCATAGATAAGCCAAGATATTTTAACTAAAATCGAAATAGAGCCTACTAAAAACATATCACGTTTGTATATAGGAAACTGTTTCTTTGCGTTGTTAATATCTAGATAAGTCTTCCTCGAGTTTGTATGGATTATTTGTTAAGATTTTTTATATTATTATTATAGTGATCCGATTTTGTAATTATTTTTTCTAATCTATTGTGGACCAATTTATAATAAAGTTTTACCAAGCACCTCTATTTGATTAAGTTGCCAGTTGGCAGGATTAGTTTAATCAGAGCGAGTACTAAAGATATTTAATGTTATAAAAATACGTGAAACCAGCAAATAAAAGACGGTATCTACGAAATTGCACATTTTGTTGCTGTACTACAGTGCCCATTGGCATTGAAACTTGGTTTCATATACCATATCGTTAAATTTCTTTATATTCGTTACTCTTTGGTGTTTGTTGCCTGGTTTTCGTTAACTAGCAATGTCGTTTCAGATAACATCCCCCTCGGAGCTGGACGCGCTGATCGCAAAGCGGGCGCAAGAGCCGGACTGCAAAGAGAGCAGTAGCGAAGACACATAGGTTGCACCCTTGTTCGAGAAATGGCTTTGTTTCAATGGAACAATTGCGACGAGCTGCAAGATTTTATAAACAATGGGGGAGTAAAGCTTAACGTTGCTTAGAAATTGTTGCTTCGCAATTTGAGGGACTGCGATAGGGTAGTTTTTCCTATGATCTGAATTGGTATGAATGGTGTATTACGACACAGTGCCTTGATAATTAATTTTGTTAATTGAACGGACAGTAGCGCAATATTGGCAAAAGACGGGCGGGACCAAGACTTTTTCAATTACAGTATTAACCAGCACTTTCATGTACCAAACAGAATCTGTGCCTTTATTTTGAATTAACCTACCGTTTTGACTTTTTAAATCGGCCAATTTCGCAGAGGGACCAAAACTGTGAAAATGGGCACCTCCACCCGCTACGGTTTGATGAACGATTGATAATTCATGCCAAATTTAACAGATCATAGAAGGTTAAAAACGAATGCACTTCGATGTTACTATTTTATATTAAACACAGCACGTTATATGCATAAACTAAGCTTATTATCTATGTGAGGTATACTTGTAGGTACTTTTTTGAAAACTTTATTTCTGATTTTTGTGTCTAGAAACCACCAGTGTGTGAGTTAGAGTAGGATGTAGCGTAAAGAGGTAATTTATTAATCAATAGCAGATAGCACATGTAGTTGTTGCACTCACAAACAGTCTTACTAACACATAGTATATTTTTATACTCTAATGTGATTTTATAGCTGTGACGAAACGGAACATTGCTTATATCCGAATTAAACATATCTCTTTTGGATTTAAAGCGCAACCCCTTCGTTTTAACCACGCTCACATTTTAGATAATTACTACAGGGTCTTGCAACTCGTGACCAAAAAAATTAGCCCTGTACTTCCAAAGACTACTGTGTGCCAATCTGCAACTATTTCCATTATTTTATATAAAATCTACCTTAAGTTCTACTAGATAAGCGGAAGTATTATACAAAGTGTTACTAAAAACTGTTGCTTGCCACTTTTACTCCTTGCAGAAATATTCAGCGGCAAAGCGCCAACGGAACGTTGGACACTTCTTGATTTGTGGTATTTTTGAGACTGACTGAGAGAAATAATTTATTATAAAAAGCCGTTCAATATTTCTGATTATATTCTTTACTGTAGTTATGTATAGGTACGTTGTTCTATGAAAGTTCAAAAAATATTTTATATTCTCTTTGATGACAAGATAGATGTAGCTTAACTAATTACAGGACATACTGTTAAACTTCATCATATATTGTATATTACATGTAAGTATTGCTTTATAGTTTATTTTTTTATATGATTATTATCTAACGATACCTACCTAAGTAAAAATGTTCTTTCTATATGTATACTAAACTTGTTCGTACTTTAAATATTTAATAAAACTGTTTTTAATGATTTCTCATTTGTAAGCTAACCCAGTTCGACAATTATGGCACTTTTTTTTCAGTGTGTCGGCTTCATATCACAATTTTTAGCGCAATATTAATTCTCAAAAAGGAGCTTACAAACCGACGGCCGTTCAGTCACTAAATGCAATATAGTGCAGGGGTTAAGAGCTAAAATAGGTTTCAACCTTGCATTTTGTGATAACTTTATGAAACTTTCAGAGGATGTTCTAGACACCCTAAGGTTCAATTTCAGCTATGCCGCCACCCCCGCAACCCCGGACGGCACTTGCTATAACGGGTTTCTTAAGCGCAGGGTAGCATTTCAATACCCGCCATGTTAAGTTTCTTTATATTTGATTTCTCTAACATCTTATTTGCATTTTGTCGTTCGTCCGTCAAATGTACTACTCCTACACGACTGAACCATAAAATGGGTCAAAAATGTATGTCCAGGGTTTGTTTTGTATTTTGTTACATCTAGGAAGTTTGAAGGGAATTGTCAAATACCCAGGGAGAATTTATTTAGGGTATTTTACGTGGTTTGCCTATTTTTAAGGCGCTTTTAACAGTGCGAACTAGGGAATGCAATCCCGCAGCAAAATCTCAATCCCGGTATTTGCGGGATTCTTAGTTGTTAATCCCGCGGGATCCCGGTATTTGCGGGATCTCGCAAAACTTTAAATAAATTGGCAAATAAGCAATTCTGTGCGGTTTAACTTCTGTATTAAAATAAATCGCTAATTATCACAATATTTAACAAAAAAGTACCTTCGGCCTAACTTAGAACTCAAAAAAACCTTACCTGTAAAGCACAAAAAGTCTTCTAAAGTGCTTCAAAAATCATAGTACATTTTTAACGAAAAAAGTTTAACAATTATTTAAAAAATAATTCGCCGTTATCAGTTTCATTAACAAAGTAAACAGAGTCGTCCCCTTGGTCGACAAATTCCTCAGTCCCGCAAATCCCTCGATTTATGTGCGGGATTAATATCGCAAAAATGCTGCAGAATCCCGGTATTTCGGGATCCCGCAATCCCGGTATTACATTCCCTAGTTTCTAGTCTATAACCTTTGATTGAGAAGTCTGATCGAAAAAGTACGAATTGTTTTGAATTGTACGCACCAAAATTAATAAGAAAAGTGTTTTCCCGAGAAATTTTGGTGCAGTCGATTTTTGGTAAAAAAGGAAGGTTATACACTGCCTTTTTTTGAGCCCCGACAAAAAAATTGTCTCAGATCGACCCGGAAAAAAAATTTTCTTATAGAATGTGGCCTGTAGAATCCATAATTTCAAACAGTTCCAAGATGGGGCTACTAGTTCAAAAGTTACAGCCCTTTGAATTTTCTTTCGAAATTGGTTTCTAGTCTATAACTTTTGATTGAGAAGTCTAATCGAAAAGTACGAATTGTTTTGGATTCTACGCACCAAAATTAATAAGAAAAAGTGTTTTCCCGAGAAATTTTGGTGCAGCGATTTTTGGTAAAAAAGGAAGGTTATACACTGCCTTTTTTTGAGCCCGAAAAAAAAATTGTCTCAGATCGACCCGGAAAAAAATTTTCTTATAGAATGTGGCCTGTAGAATCCATAATTTCAAACAGTTCCAAGATTGGGCTACTAGTTCAAAAGTTACAGCCCTTTTGAATTTTTTTTCGAAATTGGTTTCTAGTCTATAACTTTTGATTGAGAAGTCTGATCGAAAAAGTACGAATTGTTTTGGATTCTACGCACCAAATTAATAAGAAAAAGTGTTTTCCCGAGAAATTTTGGTGTAGTCGATTTTTGGTAAAAAAGGAAGGTTATACACTGCCTTTTTTTGAGGCCCCGAAAAAAAAATTGTTTCAGATCGACCCGGAAAAAAAATTTTCTTATAGAATGTGGCCTGTAGAATCCATAATTTCAAACAGTTCCAAGATTGGGCTACTACTTCAAAAGTTACAGCCCTTTGAATTTTCTTTCGAAATTGGTTTCTAGTCTATAACTTTTGATTGAGAAGTCTGATCGAAAAAGTACGAATTGTTTTGGATTCTACGCACCAAAATTAATAAGAAAAAGTGTTTTCCCGAGAAATTTTGGTGCAGTCGATTTTTGGTAAGAAAGGAAGGTTATACACTGCCTGTTTTTGAGACCCGCAAAAAAAATTGTCTCAGATCGACCCGGAAAAAAATTTTCTTATAGAATGTGGCCTGTAGAATCCATAATTTCAAACAGCTCCAAGATTGCGCTACTAGTTCAAAAGTTACAGACCGCCGAAGCCGATACGATTGTATTCCAAAATCTCTGACTCGACGGCAAATCGTTACAAGGTTCATAGAACGACCATTGGTCTCCGATTGATCCGGTACGGGAAAATCGGTCACTTGTTACCATCAGTCGCAGATGGCGGTCATTCGTTTGCTTTTCGTCCCCCCAGTTTCGCTTTTACAACGTCTTGGACCCTCCGCGTTATATTCTTGATAACAGGGCATGCTAGTGGATAACTTACGGTGAGTACGATTTGAAATTTCCAAGTATGAAACAGCGCCTTTTCGTAAGTCAAAAACTCGACTTCTGCGGAATTCGCTTTTGGCGATAATTCTTACCATGCCGCGCTCTTGGCATAATCACATCAAAACAACCGTGACGAACTTTATAATAGTCCGTACACCAAGGGCTTGAAATTAAAAGGTACGATTAGTGGTATTAAAATAAAATCTATTTTAACAGAAAAGGAAGATAAATTACAACTTATAGGACAGAATTGGAACCACCTTGTGAGAACCTGAATGTGGTGGTCGGCGGAACGGTATACGGAAATCTGGAGCGTCAGCTTGAGGCTTCGATCCCTACTCCTGGTAAGGGTGGCGGTTTGGGAACGGAACATCGGAACACAAGCCGCAGAAACGGAAAGCTCCAAGGACAATGCGGGTAAATGGCGACAGTTACTGGCCAAAATCTAAAACAGAATTACGATAACGATTTGCCAAAGTGGGACTAACAACATCTATTAGCCACGGGAAAACAAAATAAGGAAAACAAATTGTGTATCATATGGCTAGAGCTATGCCCATATGGAATTTCATGCAATTCGGTTCAAAAGTAATAGAGATGTCAAAAGGGCCTTCCTTATTTTTTTGCCCTACATAGCCCATTCACGAACTGTGATTTACAAATTCGATAAAGAATCCACATACAAAATTTCATAGTAATCGGTCCCTTGCCTTGTCCCTTCATACTTAACGGAATGAACATATCAAATGCTTACTTTCAACTT